CGAGAGTGGTATTGGTGTTCCTTTCTGCAGTTGGGAAAGTATAATAGCTGCTACCGAGAACTTCTCAGATGTAAATAAACTTGGACGCGGGGGATTTGGTCCTGTTTACAAGGTTTAACTATTGTTTTATCCATAATTGTTTGCTAGAACAAAAATGTGCTTCCATATATATCTTGATTCTAGTTCACAACTCTTGCAGGGAATGTTTCATGGAGGGCAAGAAATTGCAGTGAAAAGGTTGTCGAGCTGTTCTTCACAAGGCATTAATGAGTTTCAAAATGAAATTGTATTGATTGCAAAGCTTCAACACCGAAACCTCGTTCGCCTTTTGGGCTACTGCATGAAGGAGAATGAAAAGATCTTACTCTATGAATACATGGCAAACAAAAGTTTGGATGCCTTTATATTTGGTTAGTTCATGGAAAATGATGCATTCTATATTGCTATTTTCATTTTATTTCAATCAATAATATTTTTTTCACATATGCTAGATAAAAAGCTATGCATGTTATTGGACGGGAAGAAGCGGTTTGACATCATCTTGGGGATAGCAAGAGGGGTTCTTTATCTTCATCAAGATTCAAGGTTGAGGATCATTCATAGAGATTTGAAAACAAGCAACATTCTGTTAGACGAAGAGATGAACCCCAAAATTTCAGACTTTGGTTTGGCAAGAATTGTTGAGGGAAAACGAATAGAAGCAAGCACCAACAAAGTCATAGGAACCTAGTAAGTAGCAATTAAAAGATCTTATCCGTATGAACTCCACTTTTTGGTCATTTAGTTCTTGGCTACTGTGTGCCAAGTGCAATAATATAAAAAGATGAATTTCTATTATGTTATCTGTATATACACCTAATATACACAAGATCATATTGTGTCATATATCTATGTACATACTAACTTGTAGTATCTTGGTCCAGTGGTTATATGTCTCCAGAGTATGCATCAGATGGACTATTTTCAATAAAATCAGATGTATTTAGTTTTGGAGTTGTTGTTCTCGAAATAATCACTGGAAAGAGAAACACAGGATTTTACCAATCTACAGAAGACTTGAATCTCTTGGGTTATGTAAGTAGCTAAATTCCTCCATTTATATGCAACATTTTAGCTAATTCACAGTGTAAAATATTTTTAAACTATCTTGCCCAGGTATGGAGATTGTGGAGTGAAAACAAGGCATTGGATATAGTCGACCCAATACTGCTTGAATCTTGTAAGAAATCTGAAGTTATCAAGTGCATAAATGTTGGGCTGTTGTGTGTCGAAGAAGACCCCAATAATCGCCCCACCATGTTGAATGTAGTTTTCATGCTTAGTGGAGAAATTGCAGTTCTTCCAATTCCAAATCAACCAGCTTTTGTAATGAGAAAACGCTCATCCTCTAATCAACCGGGTTTGTTCTCCAACAATGGGTTGACGGTATCTATTCCACAAGGGCGTTAATGAACTTTTTCTTATTTCCTTCCACTCGTTTTATGCTCAACAAGAATCTCCACAAACTTGTTTTATTAGCAAAAAGTCCAGATATGCAAGTTTCCTCTCATATCTAGTTGTTTGTGTTGGAATTTTAGGGTGACCCGAATTCTTTTGTTGAAATGATTGTAAAATTCTAATTGAAGTGCATATCAAAAGAAATTTTAGTTGGAATGTTTTGAGGAATCCTATTCAAGTTTAATTGTTAAATTCAATTTAAATTTCTATTTTGAAGCCCATTGGGAGTTGGAATTTGAGTTGGACTTGAAGAGTTCAAATAAGGAAACTTTTAGGCATTTTATTTCATCTGCAACTCTACTTCTAGGGATGGATTTTTCCTATAAATATGAGGCTCCTTTGTCAGTTTTGTGAGAAGCAATTTTCCTAAGTCGTACTTGTTTTGTTCATATTGTTCAGTAGTAAATATTATTCCTCTACGATTAACCCTTTTTGTTCTTTATTTTAAATCTTGTTATTCGTGATGTGATCTTGTTTATTTCATAATATTGTCATTAAATCTCATTCTTTACGTACAATTCGGTTTGGATCAACAAGTGGCATCAGAGCTTCCACGCCCAATTGTTTGTACAATTTTTTCTTCTATTAACCAAGGAATTGTTGTGCCGAAGGGTTGAATAGACATGTAATAATTAATAAACAATGTCTAAAATGTCGTGTAATGACACTCTTTTTTTTCTTCTATGCATTATACCAGTGAAAAAAAAAATAAGGAAGGAAAAGAAGGAAAAAAGTGGTCTTCTTTTGGCTCCACCATGCTAATTGTTGACTTTATATACGCATCCAAACAAAGCGATGGTTCTCTCACTCTCATCTCCTCCATTCCCTTCAGATCGGTGGCTAGCCACACATAGAAAACAAAGATCTGTCTTTTCTCCTTCTATCTGGTGATAGTGGGTCACAAAGGAGAGGGAGGTGAGCAGTGGTCGAAATCTCACCAGCTTGAATATCAGAAAAATTCAAAATTTTTGAGTTCAATTAAGGTTCTCAAGGTGCATTTAGAACATTGGATATCACTGTATTAAGAAATTTACAATCAATAATACTAGAAAAATATTACCGTGGATTGAGGTAATCGTAGTCTTGTTACAAATCTAACAATACACTTAAATATCATATCCGATCTAAAGTCATTTCTCCTCCTACAATACACTATTCGGTTGGTTTAAAGAAGTACAAAAACTAAGATCACCTTAATCTACTATGATATTATTATTCTAATATTATTTACTTTAATTTTATACTTAGCTCTGGTGTGGAAGAGAATTTTTGAATATATATATATATATATATATATATACACACATCTACATGTATATATACATATATACGTATACGTACATGTGTGTATATACATATATACATACATGCACGTTGTAAATAGTGAGTTTACGTTTTTTATTGCATGCCTGTGAACGCCGTAAAAAGTTATTAACGGCGTTCTTTGCACGTCGTAAAAAAATCTTCCTATTTAAAGCGGCCGCAAGCCGTAAATGGCTTTTTACGGCATGCAATGCAAGCTGTCAAAAGTCCATTTTGTCGTAGTGATTGTTCTGATTGCCTGTTTTATTTTTTTTATTTTTTTAAAAACTAATAAATATGGCATAGTTATTAACAACAAAATATAGCAATGGATAGTGGTTCGGTGCGAATATTTAAAAATTGAAATCATTCTTTAAACTTTGGATATTTTGTCATTCGGTTCAATGTAATTTCTGAAATTGGTGATTCTAGTTCAGCAGGTTCCATTTCACTTATATTGTTTACCGTTTTTTATACTTGTGAATAAAAAATATATTTGACCAACATAAATTATAAATTAAACTTTGTCAACTATGCACTATCATTTTCTTATTTTGTCATTTGCTATGGCATAATAGTACTTCCTATGTGAAGAGTCGTTCAAGCTCTTGTTTAAGTTAAAGTCAATAATTAATTTTAATCATACTTCATGGACTAAAATTTTTTAATCACATATTTTATTAATTTTTATTAAAATCTACTTAAAATCAGATTTTCTCTCAATCAAACGTGGCTTAACATAATACACAAAAATCTGTACTCAGTCATGAGTTTAATTCTACTTATATTCTTTTCTATTTTTTTTATAAAAATTTAACTAGTACAGTCAGCCCCTCGCCTCAATTAGGAATGGCAATCGGGTTCGTCGACTCTGACCACCCATAGCTCGGCCCAGAAAAAGCCCGAACCGGCCCATGTGGCTCGGCGGCTCGAGCTCAAAGGCCTAATTTAAAAAAAAAAAAAATTAAAGGCAGCACTCAACTACCTTTATCTATAAATAAAAAAAAATAAAAATATAAAAACCGACCCAGCCCTGCTCTGCTCAATAAGGCTCGAGCCGAAAGCTCTGGTCGATCCTTGATTTCTTGGCGGCTCGAAAAAAAAGCTCGGACCATTTTACTCGAGTCAAGCCCGAGGCTTGAGTTTTGGCTCGGCTCATTGACACCGCTAGCCTCATTTGACTTGTTGCGGCGGAAAAGTAATTCATTTAATTTTCTAAACAGTATAGCATGACAAACATCAAATGACCAAAATGCCCACAGATGTATTATAAGAGAATTATCTGTTCCTTAATTACATTCCTCAATGCACCTATTTGACTAAAGAAGATTTATAACTTAACAAAAACTAATATTAACTTCTAATATGTATGGAATAATTCATTTGTCTGCAATCAGCTTTTCAGTTCTTAAAATTCCTTCTTAATTTGAGTATAATTGGACAATATTTTTCTCAACAATTCTTTATTATCAAGTTCAAAGAGCATAGTGAAAATGCAAAGATTGACTAATGAATGATTTCATGCTCAGTAAATAGTTGAATCTTAGGGCGAGTTATTTCCAATCAACAAAAAAGTTTGTGATGTTGAATTGGATGACCAATAGGTAAGAGAAATGAAAAAAATATCTTTTAATCCATTTCTACTCATTTAAAATTTAGTCATCCAAAATTTCATTTCAACTTTGCTCTTACTACTGTCATTTTTGTAATAAAGTAGTCTACAAATTTAATGTTGATCAAGATAATTAATCGACAAAGAAGAATGTATTGTTATCTAGCCTGAAGAACCCAGCCTAAAAATATGCGTTTTTGAAGATAAAATTCTCTTAAAACTACTAAAATTCGCTTTTATTTTGTACTTCGGTGAATTTCATTGTGTCTAAGTTGATATTGTTGATGATGTTTAAAGATGATTCTGTGATTTTGATCGATTAGCCATTGCAAAATAATATTTTGCTTCAAATTAATTAGTTAACATAGAATTATTTTGTTTCACTATAACAGAAGTAGCTTTTTACGGCATTCATTTACAGAGTGCGTGTCACACATGCCGTGAAAAGTCTGTTTTTATGGCACGTTATAAATGTGTGCCGTAATAATTCAATTACTTAAAGTATTTATGGCATACATTTAGGGACGGCGTAAATGGTCTCTTATTATGGCGTAATTTTCGAGCATGCCATAAATGATTTATTTTTTGTGATGTTCTTATTGTACGCCATAAAAAATAAACCAAGTATAGCAGGATTTTTTCTTTTTGTGCACCTAATCAGATTTTTCCTTCCAATTCACATAGTCCAAGCCCTAAACAAAAGAAAACTAAAACCCTTTAGTCACTCTCACTACAAGAAATTTATGCTTACCCTACAAATTTTGTATGCGGAAATCAATTTTTCCCACAAAAAAAAAAATATTTCGTACACAGGGGCAGATTTAGGGACGTGCTGTAGCACATACTTACACTAAAAAATTTTTGGAGACAAATTCAAATTTCGTATGTGGAAATCAATTTTCCCGCAAAAAAAAAAATTTCGTACACAAGGGCAGATTTAGGGACAGGCTGAGCTCTGCTATAGCACGTCCCTCCAGCACAAATGTTAATTAAAAAAAAATAAGTAAAATTTGTTTTATGTATGAATTTTTTAATTTTTTTGCGTATTAGTCAGTCTTGAATTTTTTTTTCTTGGATCTACCTATTCGTATGGCTATGACTGGCTTCAAATTTTTCAATAATGGGAAGATTTGTGCCCACAAAAATTTATAATTTTTCCGACAAAAATTTTGATGGGCAAGATATATGTTTTACCGACGAAAATATTTAACTTGTTTGTAGGCTAATAATTAGCAAAAAAAAAAAAAATATTTCTAATTTATTTGTATATAATTGAAAAGAGGAAAAAGAGAGAAGGTAAATGTAAAACCCACGTACTCATGCAATTCCTATCCTAAACTATTGCCTCTAAAGATTTTTCACCGAAATTTTCTTCCGTCTTTGCCGCTTCAACTTCGTTGATTGATGGCTGTGAAAACTAATTCCAATTTGTTTAGCCTCAAATTTTCTGGTAAATCCCGTGGATACAGTCCCAATTTCTTCAATTGACATGAATTGATTTTGGGTCTACAAATTCCATTTGAATCTACTAAAAATTTTGAGTTGTTCTTCAAGCCATCTTCAAGGTATGCCCAATATCCTATTTATTTGTAAATTCTGTAGAAAATATAAGTAAATAATCTTGAATTTTGAGATATAATTTTTCGATTTTTTGCAACGGAAAAGCTAATTAGTATGGAGTTTTTTTGTGTATAAATTCATCAGTCAACTGCTGTTCCATTATTTTAATTATATATAAAAACATATGGCGTGCTAAAATTTCACGTTTCTTAGCATTATTGACGGTTAATACTTGGTAGAAATTGTGGTACTGTTGATTCGTGTGTGAATCTTATGAAATTGTTTTGGCATATACAATGCACTTAAAGACCAAGATTAGCTTTTTTGTTTGCTAGGCTGCACCTTGAAATTGAGTTACCAATATTTGAACTAGGTATGTATGAGTTCATATCATGGAATAAATTTGACATCTTCATAGTAGGACCTGGTTGTATATTTAACTCTGTTTTTTTCCCCACAATGAACTGCTTCCTTAAATCTATCCTCCAATATATCTTTGATTTTTCATATGGCAAAGGTTTAGCCAGCCAAAAAGGCTTCTCAGTAATATTATGCTTCTAATTATTTATTTATTTTTTTATTAAGAATAGGAAATAGCATTTTTGATGTCCTAACATAATCGTTTTTCACCTATTTCAATTCAGGTTTGAATTATTTTTTTATGATGTCTAATATAATTGTT